GCCTGGAGCATTCTGCTGCCTTTCTCCACAGGCTTTGCGGTAGGCCTGGATGCTGGATTTTTTGTCTGAAAGGGGGCTCTCTTTACACGTCAGGCTCCATGTTAATGAGAATTGATGGGAGGGTAGAAGGGGTCAATTTGAAGAATCGTGGCAAGATGTTGAAGCTCTGCGCCTTTACGATCAAACCTCACACAAACAAAAACTGAATTAGGTTTCCTTTGATTCCGTTTTCAGGAGCCAATCTACCCTCGCGCAGGGACTTCGGACAACCTTAAGGAGGGTGACCTTGCTCTTGTGGCTTGAAGGCCAGTCTGCAACTGGATTTGTGGCTTTCGTTCGGTCAGCCGTAACAAAACAGTGTACCGCCAGCTTATGGTTTTCGTGGTGCCCTGCGGTTTTCTCTAGTTTCTCATGGCTGAATATGTTTTATCCCAAACTTTCTCACGACGTCCCTTGATTTCACAATGCCTGAGGGTTTCTAACAGCTCAACCGCGTGCCCCTGTAGTCGATGCCCGTGATATATATATGTATATATAGATTATATATTATATATATGTGTGTATGCACATATAAACACATGCCAGATGTTAGGACATGCAAATATAGCCTACACTTCGTGCTTATGTGATCGGGTCGTATCAGGGACTGTAGATCTTAAGGAGCCTTTGGGCCACCCGGAACATGAAGCCCTTCCAGTGCACCAGATGCCAGGCCTGCTTTGGCTATTTGGACACCTGGCCCTGCATTGGCGGGCGCCACAGGTGGCATTTTGGATGATGCACACGGGCTTGGCACCTGGAACAGATGAGACAACTACAGGGCCTTCCGTTTTGTTTTTTGTTTTTTGTGTGCGAAAGGCTGTTTTGTTTCCGGCTTTTGTGATCCTAGTTTCAAGTGGTTCTTTTTTGCTCTTGTTCGGTTTGGTCTCTTGTGGCTTGTTGCCTTGCAGTTGTGTGTGTGTGTGTGTGCAGAAGCCCTCCGCGAACCAATCCTGCATCAGCCCACTGACGCTGGCCTAACCTCACAAAGCCCGGTACCACCTCTTGCTGTGAACTGAATGTGCTGACTGATGTGAGCAGGAGAATAATGATATTTTTCCCACCAGTATGATACCAGGACACCAGCCCTTTGAGCAAAGAATGAGTCACTGACAAGGTCTGCAGTGATAACACAGAGGTGGGCATGTCCCCAACCCTGGATGCGAGTGGCAGCGAGGCAGCGCGCTTTGTTGTGGCCGTCTCTGGCACTGACCCGAAATGTGGAGATATGTGGAGCATTCTTTGCGCTCTCGAGCGGCATGTGTGCCTTTCATGGTACAGCATAGCATATAGCATAGTGCTGTTTGGATCCTCCATTCTAGCAAACTTCCGTCCAATATGGCCAGAGGTGTTGCCCCAGCTTTCACTCAAACCACCGGTGATCGGGTTGAAGTGGGCCCTGTGCATGTGCAGGTGTGCATTATGCGTGAAGTGCCCTGGACCCATGATTGGGGATTGTCGATCAACCACCCTTAAAGAGCAAAGTCTGGTACAGATCGGTGGTGTGTTGAAAAGTTGAGATGTACGAAATACTATTGCATAAGTGCGGTGGATATGTCATGAACAAGATGAGGAGCGCGATAGATCAGATGTCAACACTTACTGGCAAGTGGTTGGAGGATGTTGGAGGGCCGTGTAGTTCCTCTGTCTATGCGACTATAAATGGATGCAACAGTGTTCCAGTTTGTGCACACGCTCATACTCGCAAAGTTCTCTTGGCCGAGGCAATGAGCCTCGTCGGCCTATCATGTTCCACCTTTGCCACGCTGTTTGGCAATCCAAATCTGCAGACAGTCGCCTGGCTGCTGCATGTGGGGGACATCTTCCTGACCTCAACGCTGCAGCAGCTCGGCAGATCGTAGAAGCAACGCTCAGGCGTTGACAACGTTTGGGTGAAGGAAGGAGGGCCGTCCCGCACATACCACGGTGAGTTTCTCAGAGTCAGAGACACCGAGGATGCCATGGATCTTCCACCCGGTGTCTTTGGAGCCAAGGGAGCGGATTTTGCATTATCTGGCTCCTTTTGGCCAGTGCCTGCTGAACATGACCCGTGCCTTGGCAAGGCCAATCGCGATATTGGGCTGAGACGGTCTGTCCCGCGATGTGCTGGTGGGGTGAACTTGAAAACGCTTGCAGTAAGCCAGGGTGCGCCGCCCCACAGAGACTGAAAAAGTTTGTTTTCACTCGCTTGAAAGCTTCAGTGTTTGAATCCGTTTGTGTCGCAACTACTAAGTCCCCCAGTAGTGCCCTTTTACCCTGTTTTTGGGGAGGGTTCTCCTACTAAAATAGACTATAGAAAAAAGTTGGTACCCTTTCTCTGCTTTACCAAGCCTGAGCCGCATCATCGCCTGGGCGGGTAAACCCACAATGCAGCGGAAGGTTTGCTGGTGACAGTTCGCTTAAGGTCAGGTAACCCTTATCAAGTGGCGGTTAGGATTTTTCTGGTGCTAGAGGCCCGGCCTTCATAAGATTCCGCGCCCTTCCTGGGCCAAACTGTTTTTCCCACATGCCCGAATCGTCTTGCACTGCAAGCCGATTCGGGGGAGCGGAGAAGTCGAGGTGTTCACCACATCAACCAGCAACATTTGGAAGGCCGCGAGCTCGCCCGACAGGCGAGCCACTTGCGCCTTGGATCGGAAAAAACAGCTCGAGGTGTGGTGTGTGTTTGGTAGGTTGTTTGTTTGTATGAGCTTTTTGGGTTCCCGGGGAGCTTGGGTTCCCTTTTTTGTATGAGCTTTTTGTATGTTTTTTTGTGTTTTTGTGTTTGGTAGGTTTCTGGGTTCCCGGATGTTATCTTCACCGTCTTGGCAAGCACAGTGTGGACTCTTTTTTGGTCAAGCCACTCAGTCAGTGTGTCTCCGTGCAGTTTGTTTGGTCGCGGGGATTGATTTCTAGATGGGATCCTGAAGTTAGGCGCTTGCTTGGATCCGGTCTGGTACTACATCGACTAGTGGTATGGCGTTGTTTCACCATGAACACTGGCAGGCACTCCATATAACACCTGGGCAGCAGTCTCTATTGGACCTAGGCATATCCTGCCAGTGAGCACCTCTCTGCCAGCTCAACCATAGGTGTCCTTTTTAGGTTAGCTTGCATAGAAATCGAGGAGTCTGATTTAGGTTGGTTTTAGTCCATTTACCAGGGCCATCTATTTTTCCAGAAGGCCACCTATGGCTCCAGCCCTAACCATGGCGCAAGCTCCGTTTTTGCCCTTGGCATGAAACAGGGTTGCTCCGAGCCTTGAACAGATGATACACACACGGGAAGAGACTAGATTTGGTTTCTTCTGCTTTCTTTTCAAATTCGGGGCCTGTATTCTTCCGTTGTTGGTGATTGAAGTGGTTGGAGAAGCCCTGTGGACGAGGGATTGATTTTCTTGTCAATGACTTGAGCGGCTTGTGGGGACATCTGTGTTTGATGGCTAAGCTCAAAGTGGGGTTGACGGACAAACCAGACTCTAGCCCTGCGGATGTTTATTATTATTTTCCTCACAATCCTCAAGGCTGGTACTTGTTTTCTTCATGCACTGACACATTTGATTCCCGCAAACTATTCGCTCCATCATTCTCCTGCGATTCAACGGTTTGCCACTTTCCTATTTAGCATGATGATTATGAACACAGGTGCAACCGACAATATTCTTGGCAGTCCACAGTTATTTGGAGAGGGCATGGAGGGGAGAACCGGATCCTCAATTTTGTCCATGTCCTTTTTGGGCAAGTAGTTTGTTGTCCGGAGATCAAGCGGTTTCGGTCTGAGTGTGAACTTTCAGCAGTTTGCCTTCCAACTGTTTGGTGTCAGTTCGGCAAGCCCTGCGGCCAATACCCACTTGTTTGAGGGTACGATGTGAACCGCTGACAGACAAGGTGTTCTCCAACATCCACCTTGCCAAATAGTTGTCCTTAGGCAACCAAGCACGACTTAGAGGGTCATTTGGAGGATGTCACTTTAGCGGATCCAGACAGCGACCCAAACTGTGTTACAGACAAAAGCTGCAGCGACTTTTTTTGCAGCAAATATAAAACCCTTAAGTGGTGGAGGTCTGATTTTAGGCATATCTCCTCGCTGGATGACGCCACCTGCACGAGCCTGGCGGACGAGCAGCGCATTCGCCGTGCCATCGCCGGGGCGGAGGCGCTCTGAAAATGCGGGCATTGCGGGCTACCCAGGAACCGTGAGGCTATATGTGGCGAACCTCCAAATGCAAAAAACTAAACAGAAAGCTTTCAATTTGGGCCCCCTATTTTGACATTCCCAGCTAGGAACCTTAAGAAGCTTCCAGGGAAAAATACCTGGACAAGCAAATGCAGAAGGAACCTACCTGAAGGTCGCTTTTGTGCTTGAAATTGTGAGCTGAAGAAATTGGACCAACCCCCAAACTTGCTGGTGCTCAGTAGGGAATGAGGGAATGAACCCAGCAATACCCGTAGAGGAAACGACAAGAATTGTTTACAAGGGTCATTCCATTCCCTGCTGAGCGCCAGCAAAAGGGAACTCTGGTATGGACCAGAATTAATCAGTTGACTTTTGGCACGAAAGCTGAGGTTGACGCTGGGAACTGGAAGCATACGCAGGTCTTCCTTCCTGTCCCGGACCCCTCTGATTGGTTGTGAAAGGGCAAAGAAAACCGGTGCCATTGGGCCCCCCAATCTTGAGACAGTTTGTGGAAGTGGAACGCCCTTGTAGATGAGGGGCAACATCGAGCTCGTATGTTTACCCTTTAGCCAGGTCCAATCCGAACCCATCATCGATCACGAACCCCAGATGCTTTGTGTATATATGTATATAGATAAATAACATATAGAGAGAGACATATATAAGTACATATGCATGCAGTCAACCGACCGTGGCAGGAGGATGTGGTCACAACAATCCGTGTCTTGATGAAGGCTGGTGCCTACACCAAGTCCTTGAGACATGCCTACGAAGCGGGTGTTGATATCACTGGTGCGGGGCCGCTTGGCTGCTTCAATTAGAGCTCGGGCATACACCCAACTTATTAATGGGTAGCTCTTAAACTTTCTGGGATCCTCAGCCCAGATGGCTGAAGCAACGAGAAGGTGGACTCGGCCACATGGCAACATGTAAAACAGCCCCAGTTTATGAACATTGCACCTTTCTGGGAAGATCATGTTGGTGGGACACAAATGCTTCAGATTGTGCTCTTGGGAGATAATGTCAAGCCATGTGTGTGTGTGTGTTCTATTTCTGTGTGTGTGCCCGCGTGTTTGCATGTGTGTGTGTGTGTTTGTGTGTTTGTGTGTGTGTGTTTGTGTCTCTGTGTCTCTGTGTGTCTCTGTGTCTCTGTGAGTCTCTGTGTGTCTCTGTGTGTCTCTGTGTGTCTCTGCGTGTCTTTGGGTGTCTTTGTGTGTCTCTGTGTGTCTTTGTGTGTCTCTGTATGTCTCTGTGTGTGTGTGTCCCTGTGTGTCTCCGTGTGATTGTTTCTCTTTGTGCCTCTCTGTCTCTTTGTGTCTCTCTGTGTCTCTGTGTCTCTCTGCGTGTCTCTGCGTCTCTGCGTCTCTGTGTCTCTGCGTCTCTGTGTGTCTGTGTCTCTGTGTGTCTGTGTTGTGTTTGCGTGTTTGTATCATGTATGTAGCAGTAACAGTAACAGTGTGTGTGTGTTTGTGTGTTTGTCTATGTCGGTGTTGTGTGTGTGTGTGTGTTTGTGTCTCTGTCTTCGTGGGTCTGTCTCCGTGTCTCTGTGCCTTTGTGTCTCTCTGTCTCAGTTTATCTGTGCCTCTATCTCTTGGATTTTTTGTGTTCGCGGTGCGCAGGGCTCCTTCCGCGTTTCAAAGCAGGCGGGGTGCAGCGGGCCCGTGGAGGTTTGTCTAACAAAGTTCTCCGCAACGATGCTGCCACCTGCCAACCTCCGGCGTGCGGCCAGCATTTCGCTTGAGGAGTAGCTCGCTACCCCCGCTTCACGGAAGAACGTGGAAAGAAAGGGAAGACACTGTGTACGTTTTGCCGATTCTGGCTTCACTCTCGTGTGTGGCCGTACGTGTGTGGGCCGCTGCGCAATTGCCACACGGGTGTCCAAGGTCTAAGCTATTTGTCACAACCGTTGGCTCGTGATACCAGAATTGGGCAACGTATGTTGGAATCTGGGAACGGGCTTGGACGCAGCCTGAAAAAATGTGATTTGCAGGGTGTCCAACAATTGGGCAGGCAAGGAATCAACTCAGCCACCTGGTTGCCGGGTAAAAAAAAACAGTCAAAAAGAAAGAAAACAGCATTCCTCGCCCACATTCGCCCAAGCCTAGGCTTTTTGCAGCTCTCTCTTGTGACCAAGGTCCTTAACAACTCAACCCATTTTTGGCCTTCCTTGGCCGGGAAAAAAAGAATGCACAGCCATTCCAGCGCCCTTGGCGTTTCAATGAAAAAGTTTGCCCGCACCGCGCCGCACCAAGCACCAAGGAGCATGGACGTCTCGGTGAGTTTCCCCATCGCCGCCTTCCTGTGGCTCTGGTGCCTGTTGCGCACCACGGCTTGCTTCAAGTGGCGCGACGCGGCCTGCCCGGAGACCTTCTCGCTGCTGGAGATGGCGCTGGCTGTCATGGCTTGCGCGCCTTTGGCGGAACCAGACCTCCGGCAAAGCCACCCCCGGCGTCCAGGATGTTTGATTTTCACCTTTTGGGTTTAAAGGGAATCTACCCCTAATTACTGGAAGGAAGTATGTTTACACTTGTTTTCTTTTTTTTTCCAGGGGGCTTATATTAAGACTTTCGGAATCCAATGCTGTGGATGGTTGCGGAATCCATTTCGCATCACCTAAGAAACCCTCGAATGATCATTCCCCTGTAAATAACAACAAAACATGGTTTCAAAAAATGGTTTCAAAGTGCATAATTACTGTCTATGGTTGCGAAATCCATTTCGCACCACTTTGATACCATGGTTGCAACCATTGTTTGTCGGTATTTACAGGTGAATCATCCTTCCAGGGTTTTTTATAGGCGGTGCAGGATTTCGTCCATCCACAGTATGTTTGATTCCCACTTGTCGGTTTTAAAGGGAATCGATCACCGCTGGAAATATGGTTATGTGTTTATTGATTCCAGGGGGCTTAAGCAAATCGAAGCTGGCTCTTGGTTCAAAGGGAGTGGCCCTTATCATTTTCTGAAAAGTCGTGTTTTCCACGGGTCTGGGCAGTGCAGCGGAGCCGTTCCAGCACCCCTTGAGGCCGTCCAGGAAGCGTATGCGGGAGATAAGACGCGTTCGGGGGGAGCTGGCGGAAGAACGGGACATGAGCATGGAGCTTAACTTGTTTCCAGTGGATCCAGTTTTTTTTCACCGAAAAGACGTCCAACTTCCAACACCTCCGACTGAAAAAAAAAAAGATAGCTTCCGCAAAGGGGTTGGGGCAAAATGGGTTTACTGATGGACCATGCCCTCTTGAAAGCGAAGCCATTGCTGAGGCTGTGGTGGCTATGCCGTTTCTGCTCTACGGAGTGCGCAGCAACGGGCCAGAGTGGGTGGTCTTTGGGGCAGCTCGGACTGGACTGGGACTGGGCCAATTGAAATTGGTGTACGGCTAACCGTTGAGGGTTCTCAAAGTTGCTTTGGGAATCTGGTGATTCTCCTGACCACCACGTTGATGTAATTATGAGAGTGTCAGCTCAATGGATCCGCGTGCTGACAACTAGTCAGGTGTAAAGGTCCGACGGACATGAACACCTGCCTCAACAGCAAGCCGGTCCCAGTTCTTGTCAATGTGTTGCATTTGCTTGGGAAGCCCTGTTTGACAAGGCCGAGGTCTGAGCCCTTGTTAAAGCCCAAGATTGCCCCAAGGAACCGTGCATGAACCTGAGTCTTTTTTGCATGAAAGACACTAGCGCCACTTGTCCCTCAAATTCAAAAAGCTGTATTGGCTGCTTTGTGCCAGCTTCCCGCACCGCAGCTTTCGCACCTTGACAGGCAGGAAGAGGCACGCGCTCCCGAGCCGCCAGCGGTTGTTCTTGTTCGGTCCAATGGATTCAATCCCCCCCCAACAAAAATATTCAAAAAGCATCCTGCCCCCCAACCCCCAACCCCCTTCAAAAAGTATCGTACCCCCCCCCCCAACCCCCAATCCCCATCAAAGAATTTCGTACCTTATAAGTGACTTCTTCGTCCCAGGTGGACTGCTGGGCCTTGTGTGCCGGACTGGCGGTGATGGCGCCTGCTTTGATGGCGGCCATTGACGGCCACTTCCAGGCGACCGGGTGTCAAGCAGCGGGGCCGGAGCTCCAAGCCTTGGTGGTTTGATGTCTTTGGTGTCCCTGGCCTTCGCAATTCTGTGCTTCTGTGTGCGGAATTTGTTTTTTGCTTTTTGGTGTTTTGGTTCTAAGTAGTTGCCTTCAGAATTCTTTGTTTGTTTTGTGTGTGTGTGTGTGTGTTTTTGTGTGGGTTGTTTAACGTTTCGTTGTTCTTTCTCAGTGGGGGTTCCCTTTGAAACAGCGCCCAGTGTACTTACTATTTGCGGACTGCTGCAGGGTGCCGCTTGCACCTACTGCGGAAACAACGAGAAATGTTGGTCCTCAATACGGCTATTGAATTTCAAAGTTCACGGCTGGGCAGAACTTGGGCCGTGTTTTTGGCGCGGCAGGAGGCTGATGTTGGGCTCGCACCTGCCCTGCCATGAGCCTATAGAACACCCTCGTTGCTACAGGCAGTGTTGTGGAATCCAACAGTGATATCAGTTGCCGTTTGAGAATTTTTACAAATGTTGGACACAGCGACCGGGTGCGCGCGCGCGACAACTGCTCTTGACATATGTGCGTAAACATGTTTGTGGATTGGCGTGCCCCCTTTTCGTGTGAATTCCATACATCGGCGTATGGAAGATGATCGAAGCGATGTTGCTGAGACGATCGCCTCTAGCACGTCCTTCTCTCCTATAGCCCTGAATATGACTTGTGCTTTGTGATGCCACATCAGGTGCAAACATATTGTCATAGGTGTGCTTAGCAATGGCCCTTCTAGCCTTTTGCATCATCAGCGTTTTTCAGAGCCCGTATTTGTCTTGCACTTATCTCGAAACTAATCAGTGCAAAACTCAATTAAACAACTGTAAGCCCCCTTAGCCTGTGATGAGCAGCGCACCCCCTAGCCTCGAATCAGTCCAAGGGGAATCAGATGGGAATCAACCCTGTGGCAAGTTGAATTTCCAACGCGGAGGTGGAGGTCGCTTCCATACGTATACCTGTTTGTCCTGTCGAATGCGTGGTAGTTTATTTTGTTTGCATGGAAGCACAGTCACAGATCGTGTTTGGCAGACTACTTTCAATATGAAAAAAGGCAGCGTTGTGCCAAGCCATGTTTGTTGGTGGGAGAGGGAGGCTACCTTGCCAGGAAATTCCCCTCGTGTAGCTTTTTACATGGCTCGCCCCAATCTTCGGGGAGAAACCTCTTGAAGTGTTTCTGCAAGTTCGGTTCTTCGAGCACTTGGGACAAACAATGTAAGGCGCGACACCAACATAATGCTTTTGGAAGACTACTTTCTTCTGAGAAAGCCCCCTATCCAATTTGTTTATTGTTTGAGAGCGTTATGTTACCGGTATGTCTCTCAGTGAGGGGCACCTTTTGGGCGGGAAATTGGGGTGAGAAGCGGGCCGAATTGCCTGCCTGTGCACGGCTTCCAGGATGCGCACGGCGAGGGCGGGTCATTGCCCTCGAACGCCTTGCGGTATGATGCCTATGACAGCCTAGTGTGTCCCACCGCCTCCACCTGGCACCTTGGATCGATCGTGGTTTGTGGTTTGCGCTCAGCCACCGCATAGGATATGCAGCCAGATGTTCTATGCTTGGGGGGCCTGCGTAACCCCCAATCCCTAGCTTCCCCAGAATTATTTCCCCTCTTTACTTTGTTTCTTTTCTGGTCAAGCTGGTAGGTCTATGTTGGGTCCCCTCTTTGGGGGGCTGACCACGCCATGGGACGGCGAATTTTCGGGGTGGTTTGATCGTGGAAACCTTCGTGGGCACACGTGCGTTTCGTGGCGTTTGGTAAAAGTTCTTGGGGGAGCCACACCGAACCCCACGCACATCCAAAAATCACTTGGTAGCCAAGCTGGTGCCAGAACCAACCAGTAACCCAGAACGGCATGGATTTTAAGAGCTGTGCCACTCCATTGGTACGTGTCCGAGGTAAGGCCTTGGTACTTTTGGTGGGCTCGAGACCCGCAAGACATGATCAGCCCAGAAGGATTCCTCCTTTGTTTTGGGCACGATCTTGGTGAGAGAGTCCTTCCAGCTCCATTGCTCCATCGTGGCAGCAGTTGTGCATGAGGCTACTTGGACCCTGTATGACCCTGAGCAGAATTTGGGTAACCCACTAGTGTGTGTGTGTGTGTGTGTGTTTTTGACCTTATGTTTAGACTCCGGGTACTTTGAGAGAATCCAGGCAGATTCCAACTGTTTCGACCAACGGGAAGCTAAAGAAAGCCAAGCCCAAATGCAATGAATGCCTTGTGGGTGGTTTGAACAGGGCCCTGAGCATGAAGCAGTATGACGTATGACCCCCCCCCGGATCCTAAACCAAGCCTACACGCACTAACCCTGCCCACCCTAAACCCAAAGCCCGCCCTAAACCATCTCTGAGCCCGCCCTAAGCAGTAACCCCCGTCAAGCCCTACACCCACCTTGAACTAAAAAACAGCCTAAGCTCGCCCAAATCCCACCCCCAAATCGCCTTAATTGCCCACAAGCGTTGGGCAAGTCACTTGAGCTCCCAGTTTCGGATATTGTTTGCAAGGAATTGGTTTAGATGTTTACCTATCTTGGCGTATTTTGACATTTGTTTGACTCCGTAGTCTCTATGTTTGCCCACGGCCCGTTGCCCCCGTAACTTGAAGCGGATTCGGTGAGTGACAAATGCAAAGCTCCAGATGGCAAGCGTCAGTTCTCTCAAAGCTACGGCTTGAAGGGCGACGTTAGGATGATGGCGCCAGTAAAGCGGCAAATCTGTCCCTTGTTTTCAATCCGCTTTGGCCTCTGCATCAGTGTCTAGGTACATGGTGGTGGCGTTTCGGCCTCTTATGGCGGTCATGGCGGACCTGGGCGCCGTACTTGGCCCCGCACGCATGCACGGGCTGATGATGCGCAAGCGCGAGACCCGCCGCGGGGGGCTCGGAGATGGTCACTTGGTTCCCTGGGCCTGCTGTGGGATCGGCGAAATGATGCACCGCTTTGAAACCAAGGGAAGCCACGGTTCGTTATGTTTGTTGTTATTTGCGGGGGAATGATCATTCCAGGTTTTCTGAGGTGGTGCGACATGGATCCATCCACATGGATGAACAGGTAAAGTAGAGGTCAAGCAAAGGCGGGGTTGGAAGAGAAGGGCGCCCTGGACTCAATGCGAGACCCTACCGCCTAACATAGAACCCACGAAGGAGATGGGTCCTCCACCCTGGAGGCAAGGTATATGATTCATGTTGTTTGGCCAGGGCAATGCCAGAAACTGTTTGGTTGGAGCCCTTGTTGGTTCCATCGAAACACATTTGGACATACCTGGGAGGGAGGATTGGGCCTTTGACCGGGGACTCGCATTAGCGGCGTGCCCCGGTCTTGATCAGCTGACAGCTGCTCAGCTGCTCCTAGTCACTAACGCTTCGGTTGGCCATGCTAAGGTCAACCTGCAGATTCTGACTGGGAATCCTCGAGCAGTGGCAGCGCTTTGACCTGAACCATGTGCCATCTTAGCGCAGCCAATGCAGCATTGCGAGGTTGCACATGTTCCCATCAAAACTTTAGAAGCACACGACGGCTCCTCATCTTTAAAAGGGGGTGCTCCTTGGTCACGGCGGCGGCGGTGGCGGCGCGCGATTTGTTCAGCATATGCTGAGACGGCTGCATCATGAGCCAGGAAAAGAGGAGCCACCTTTTTGCAGCCAAAATATCAGGAAATTGGAGTGATTCAGGCAGAGATCGACCAACAAAATGGTCAAAGGAGACCTCAAGAAGCGGTCGGCGGCCGCTTCTTGAGGGTCAAACCAGCCCTTGCCCTCTATCCTACACGATTTTTGAGCTACGCAAAAAGCGCTCGGTCAATTTGAGACCCTGGGAAAGCCTCTTGTCTTATTATATAATTGAAGTGTGATGATGAACGGGCCCACGCCTGCCACACTGATTGCACTTGTTTGTCCTTTCGCGGTGGGTCGGAATGGTTCTCGCTTGCAACGGGTAGTAAGAAAACAAAAAGTCTGAGCAAAGTATTCCGGATGTACTTGGTAGGTTGGGGCGGGCTGTAGAGTGACTTGCCGGCCTTCCGCAGCCAAACTTGGGAAGGATGATGGCTTTATGCTGACAGCAGCCTTGGTGCCATGCAGCCAGGCAACCACACTACTTTCTAGGAGTAGCTTCCCACCATTCTTTCTGGGGATCCTTCCTTCTAGAAAACCTGCAGAATCCCAGATAAAACGGCTGGTTTTTGAAAAGGACGATGGCTAAAAAGAATGGGAGATCAACCCCTAGATACTAGCTGTTTTCACTCACCACCTCAAAGAAACACATGTGAGTATGTCACTTGCTGCATGTCATTCCAATTGATGCACTACACATCCACAGTGCGGGTTTTTGTTCACGCTGTCAACTGGCACCAACCCACCCTCACCCTTGAACTACCCAAACGTATCAACACTGCTAGTCACTAATCTGCACATGTTTCCAGAGGGGCCAGCCATGAGAAGCTGGGGTAGTTGCATGGAATTCTTGCAATTCAACTTTGCCACGGGTTCTTGCTTTCCTCCAAACTCGCATGGCGTGCTGTTTTTTCGACGTCGCGTCGGATGCTCCGCGCTTTGGACCTGCACCTCCGGATCCCCCCGGAGCGTTGGTGCATCACCTTCAAGGAGTTCCGACAATTCGTGGTCGACGTGGAGCAGGCTGGACATGCGGACCCACCGGTTTTGGCCTAGAAGCCCATGGACGTTTTTTTGTTGCCTCACATAGGGTGTGTTGTTCAGCTGTGTGACTGGCTTCTCGGATGATTGTATGTTCTGTATGTTTTGCTAAAAGCCTAACTCTGTCATGCTTCCGCCATCCGCCCGCGAATAGTACGTAGATAATTATTCTTTGAAGGGGGGGGGGTGTGGTGTGACGCTTTCCGGCATATACATGAAAGGAAATCAAAACCGGAGGGGGGGGGTGATACTCTCGGCTTGTAAAACCAGGGCTGTCCAAAAGGATGCTTCTCTCAACATGAAGGTTGTTTTGGGACGTGCCGATTTGCTGCAGAGTACCCTTCCACCGTATCCTCATTGCACTTTCTGGAGGCGTGACATGTCAGAAACGCACAGGTGGTTTCCCACCAGCTGCTTGTTCACTGGAGCACCCCTTTAGACGAGGGCGATAGGCTTTCCAAAACCGGGTTGGTGCGGATCAGCCTCTTGGGCCAATGTGAGTTTTCCCTGGGTGGGGTGACGTACCAACGAATCCAAGCTGGGGCCCGTGGTGAGGGGCAGATTTCTGAGAAAGGCAAGATGATAACAGGGGTGAACACTGGTCATTCGTTCTTCTAACATGCCACCTTTCAAGATGGCAGGGAACCTCGTGTCAACAGGACAACGGAGACCTGCTTTCAGATTGAGAGTCTCACTTGCCCAAAGCCGTCCTTTTGACCTTTTTGTTGTCAAATCTCCCCAAGAGTTTACCTTTTTTTCAGGTTCTTTGGGCAAGCCCCGGGGCAGTGTAGTCTCATACCAACATGCCATGGCTCCAAGGCCTTTTTATTGGCCCATTGTATCTTTGTTTTGCGTTGCCCTTCGCGAAGAGCGTGACTTCGCCAAAGTCCAAATCTGCGACGCATCGCTTTTTCTGCTTTGTATTCATATCTTCGCTAAATTGTAGGAGGGTTGATCAGAATATCTTCGCAGCATGATAGACAAGTGCGAATTAACATGTCATGGTGCTGGGCTTTGAGTTTTCCCAGGATGCATCAACTTGGCGGATCAGAGGGAGGGCGTTCCCCGTGAATGTCCATTTCCTTTTTTGGAATGCGCCCCGGGTAACAGGCTGTGTCATCGAGTGTTTGTTCCCTTAAGCCTTGAACCTTTGCTCCTTCTCGCGCCTGGCTATTTCCATAACTGGCTCCAGCTTTCACCAAAGGACAATCATGTGTGCAGCATTCGCCCACAACCCATGTGTTGGAGCCTATGTCGGGACAACCAACAATGCCCCTAGCGGATGCTCGTCTCGTTTATGGCCGATTTTTTTCGTAGGTTTGGAAGCTCGGGCAGATCCCCGACAGCGAGCACCATCCGCACCCGGGTCACTGGAACCGACAATTCGGGCCCAACTTGCACCAGGTGAACGAGCACTATGCGGCTTGGTTGTCAAGGCCTAGGGGCCATGGTCTTTCTGCCACTTGTGAGAAAATGGGCGACCCCCTCAAGGAATGCTTCACAAGGTGGTGGATCGGTTCTCTACCAATGGCAAAAAGATCCCTTGGTCAAGGCCCGGGGGCCTGTTCCCTGAAGCCTTTGTTGGGGTAACGCGAAAAAAAGGACATCTATTTTTAGAGTCCATTTTGGGGAACCTTGCGTTCGGGCGCAATACAGGTGTCCTTTCTGGAAGCAGCTTTTTTTGTGCCTAGCCCTCATCGCGGGTGAACATGGGAACCCGGATGGCATGCAAAGCCAATTCGGGTAGGGGGTTTAACGGGCAACTTGGCCCTTCGTGGTTTGGAGAGCACTTACTTCAGGTTTTGGAGTAAATGGATAGATGGTTTACCTACCCGAAAGGAAACAACGAGTGGATGGGCCCGGATGGGTACTGAATTCGATGGTCCTAGTTTCTTCGCAGCGTTCCATTCGAAAGGTATTGTTCACTTGTGCGGGAGGCCCTCCAATCGGCAAGGGGTCAACGTGGGAGTGGCCGCGGTACTCCCATGGAATTGGCCACTGATCAGCTTACCGCTTAAATTTGCAGATTAGCAATCTTGTGACTGAAATGTTGTTGCCTGGTTGCTTCGTTGTAGTTCTTGAGGTC